TGGAGTTGCTAGATCATATGGTAATTCTATTTTTTATTTTTTCAGGAAATATCACACTGTTCGCCACAGCAGCTGCACCATTTTACATTCCCGCCAATAATGCACAAGGGTTCCTATTTCTTCACATCCTACCAACACTTGTTATTTTCTATTTTTTGGGTTTGTTTTTTTAAAATAGTAGTCACCCTAATGAGTGTAATGCTTTTAATTTTCAATCATTTCTGTTTTTATAGCAATTATGTAATATTTGATACCTATTTAGGTGGTATATATATTTCCCTATACCCGCATAATTTTGTTTCATATGTACCTTTTGGAAATGGGATATAACTTCACCTTTTTCTTTTTATTAACCTAAATTGAAAATATATGTCTTGTGATAGGATAATTTAACCTATTCATGGATACTGTGATTACATATATAATTAAACCTATTCCTGTTCTTTTATTTCATGTTTTTCATTTATCATACTTTCTTCTTATTTCTTTTTCCTCCTATCTTTTCTTCAGCTGATTAGATTTTCTTTATTCCATTGTTTTTTCTCTTGTGGATTGGAGATTTTATATATTCTATTTCTATTCTTTTAGTGATTACCATTTGGTCTGTGGTCCAAATCCTGTCGTCTTTGTACAGCCTACAGGTTAAGAATAAGTTTTAAGTGGCTATAAATGAAGTTTTATTGTCACACAGCCATGTTTATTGTTTACATTGAAATACATCATCTTGAGAGGTGCTGATGGGAGGATTCGTGGGGTTCGTGAAGTGGTAGCAGCCTCATTGTGAGTGGGACGTGGGTTCAACACCTAGCACTGTGACCTTGGGCAAGTGACTTAATGTCTCAGCTCAAGGGTAAAAGAAGGATATCTTCCTCCGTAGAGTATCCTGAGGTTTACATGGAGCATTGCTTATTAAGCAGTTAGTACAGTGTCTGGACCTAGTAAGCGCTCACTCCAAGGGAACCACTATTACTGTTGTTACTGGTAAGTACACTATACTGAGACTCTGAGAAACCAGATTTGGCTCCGGTGCTACATTTACAAGCTGTGACTGTAATTCTCACAACAATCCCCAAGGTCATAGTGTTTTCCATATTTACAAATAAGGAAACTGATATGGATGCCCAACATCAAGTTTTCAGATCTGGATCAAACACAAATATTGTTCTCTAAAAATTCTCTTGGCAGATATGGTCTCAGCAAAAATGACCATTCAGCAAAGTGTATTTTAGCATCTCTTTCATTTCTTTCCAAGCCCCTGTTCTCTTCTCCCCACCAAGTTGGTGTGAGGAAGAGAAAGTTGGGGACAGCCTGAGATTCCTGGGTGCTAGTAACACCCTACGGACATTTCCCAGGGCCCCAGGGCAATCTAGAAAGTTCTCCATTCTTCTTGCACTGGCTTACAAATCCAGCCCGTAACTAGAGAAGATTTACTTGTCATATCCCTAAGGCAGTGCCACTTAATGCCTGGCTCGCTGACCAGAAGGATATGTGTAGGGGAGGGAAAAGTTTTACTCGACTCTCTTAGAGTTCCTGGCTTGGTCTGAAATTTAAACTGACACAGACAGATTAACAGGAGAAAAGCTTACGAATTTTATTGAATTTTTACATGTACATGGGAGCTTTCACAAGAGAAAGAACACCCAAAGCAGCGGCCAGAGCAGGAAGCTTTTACACCTTTCAGCCAAAATAAATTTGTGAAGAATTCACAAGTCTGGACTGGGGGTTGTAACTGGTGAAAAAGTAACTAGGAAGACGTGGGTTAGTTTAACAAGGTTTGTTTGTGCAGATTTCTTATCTCCGATTCTGTCTCCGGTGATAAGAATGTCTTCTTGGAAAATGGAGCTGCCGTTCGACCCAGTGATTCCACTCCTAGGAATGTATCCTAAGAATCCTGAAACATTCATCAGAAAGGATATATGCACCCCGATGTTCATAGCAGCACAGTTTACAATAGCCAAGATCTGGAAACAGCCCAAGTGCCCATCAGTAGACGAGTGGATAAAAAAGCTGTGGGACATCTACACCATGGAATACTATGCAGCTGTAAAGAAGAAGGATCTTGGACCCTTTGGGACAGTATGGATGGTCCTGGAGAGTATTATGCTGAGTGAAATAAGGCAGGCAGCGAAAGATAAACATCACATGATCTCGCTTATACGTGGAATCTAAAGGACTTAATAAACTGATGAACAGAATAGATTCAATGACATGGAAACATGGATCAGACTGACTAATGTCAGAGGGATGGAGGAGGGCGGGTGGGTGGAGGGGGAGAGAGTAACCAAAGAATTTATATGCATATATGCACAACCCAAGGACATGGACAATGGTGGGGAGAGGGACTAGGGAGGGGGAAGGGACGGGGTGGAATGGGTCATTGGGGAGAAAAGGGGACATCTGTAATATTTTAAACAATAATAAAATTTAAAAAAAAAAAAGAATGTCTTCTTGGTACAGGGATAGGATTTTTCACAGGGGAATTTTAATACCTGTTTGGAGAAAGAGGAGGAGGGGGAGGGAGTGGTCAGAGTGACCTTTGTGCTTCTGCTCTTTTCTCATAACTCATCCGCTTAAGATATTCAATATGCCAAGGTGCTGTGCTTTAGGGTAATGGATCCAGACCTCAATCTGGGAGCTTGTCACAAATAACAATTCTTCTCTCCCCCCCTCCCCCCCGCATCCAGATTTACTGAAAAAGAACCTCCCGAGGTGGGGGCCCAGTATCTGTTTTAGCAAGCTCTGCAGGAGATTCTTCAGCAAAGTAGAGAAGTAAAGAGACCAATAGGAGGACATGGGAGTGGACCAGTCTCTGTGATCTTGCCCTTCCCCAAAATGAGGCTGCTGCTCTGTACTGAGGGTCTTTTCCAAGGAGGAAATTAGACTGAAAAGGGAAAACTGCATTTAAAAAAAAAAATGTTTTCTCATTTTTGTTATTCTCAAAGCTTTCTTTCAACGTTTTTTTCACATAGAAAAAATATTTCCATAATTCTGCCTACATAAACATGATGGATGTGGTATGTTAGGCAGCATGGAACAAATCGAGAGGAGTGTAAAATGGATTCATTCCTGACATGACCAAGCCAGGCAGGAAAGAAGCTTGGTTAAGAGGATCTTATCAGGGTGTGATGGGGACTTTGTACTGGAGGTGGACCCCGGCCTCTGCTTAAAGAAAAAGAGAGAAACAAGTCTTCTTATCTGTGGTGCACACACCAGCCTGTCAACTGCCGCCCTGTTCTGTCACTCACCAGCTGACCTTGGCTGGGTGACTTGGCTTCTCTCAGCCAAGACAATTATGAGTGTTAATAAAGTGCCTGGCACCTAGGAGGCATTCAACGCAAATTAGAGTAACCTCACTTTGGGACCTTGTTGTGAAAGGACGTGTGGTACAGAACTCAAACCCAGAAGTCTTTCTGTTGGTCTCCAGCTCATGGAGGGTTCCCAGAGTCCCTTGTGTCACATCTTTCCATAGAGAATCCATGGAATCAGGGTTTGGTGTGACCTCTCCACTTTACCAAATGTGTCACTATGGTTGCACCCCAGCACGGAACACTTGGGACACTCCATTGTGGCCACCTTCTTGATGAGCAAAGACCACTCTCCTTTCCCCCAGAGTCTCTCCTCTATCTCTCCCCACACCTCTGGCCCCTTGGCCCTTTTAATGTATTACCCACTGAGCTTGGCCTTCAGTATGGATGGCGGGCCCTTCTCAGACACATTTGATTCCATGGCTGGAATGGGCAGGGGGAGGTAGGAGGTGGGATGGTGGAAAATTCTTCTAGATTTGACTAGAGCTTAAAATGATGATCAGCTTCAGGGCGGTGCATCCACAGCATTAGATGTTCAATCTACAAAGAGTAAACCTCCTGCTGGCGTTTGTGCTATACTTTTTTATGCTAAAATGATAGACTCCTTCCCAAGCTTAAGTTGTTGCCAGCTTCTAGGAAAGGGGTGCCAAGGTGGGAAACCACTTGCCGCTCCGTGATGTTATTACTGATGTTTCACCTAGGGCATCCTCAGAGGCGCTGTGGAGCCTCATTTTGGAAGTTTTTCCTTTTCATCTCACTTGGGTGGTCAAATGAGAATTCTATCATCTACTCAAGAGCCCAGGAAATGGCTTGTGATGACTCATCAGAAGCCACGCCCCACGCCCCCATGCTGAGACACAGTGCTTGGCCAAACCAAGAGAAACTACCTGACTCCACAGGAGGCTGCAAAGTTAATCACACATTTCCTCAACAACCACCACCTCAATCTGCTTTGGCACAGAAACTTATCATGTGTTATCAAAATGTACACTGGTGGCCCTAGGCAGTTTGATTCAGTGGCTAGAGTGTCAGCCCACAGACTGAAGGGTGCCGCATTTGATTCCCGCCAGGGGCCTGTACCTCAGTTGCAGGCCTGGTCCCTGATGCCGGTAGGGGCGCTGGCGGGAGGCAACCAATCGATCTCTCTCTCTCTCTCTCTCTCTCTCTCTGCCTTCCACTCTCTCTGAAAAGCAATGGAAAAAAATATCCTGGGACGAGAATTTTTTTAAAATGTACACTGGTAGAACTCTCAGAGCCAAGTCTAGTCCAGACAACGGCTTTCTGGAGGGAGATGGTATTAGGGGTATAAAAGACGGCAGAGGCATCTAACAAATAGCTTATTTTTGCCCTGGCCAGTGTGCCTTAGTGGTTAGAGCATCAGCCTGCTCATCAAAGGGCTGTGGGTTAGATTCCTGGTCAAGAGCACATACCTGGGTTGCAGTTTCGATCCCTGGCCCCAGCTGGGGTGAGTTCAGGAGGCAGCCTGTTGGTGTGTCTCGCTCACATGGATGTTTCTCTCTCACTCCTCCTCTTCCTTCCTCCCCCACTCCCTTCCTTCCCTCTCACTTCTCTTTAAAAGTCAATGGAAAAATATCCTCCAGTGAAGATTAACCAGTTTATTTTCTCATGCCCCTGGCGAGGCCCAGCTCCCCTCACTGCCCTCACCTCTGTTTTATTTACACATTTTTATTACAGCTCCTGCCTCTCATCGCTCCCAATTCAGATGACCTCTAAACTCCATCGCCAGAGGCACAAGCTACCAGAGTCCTAACTGCAGCAGCAAGAAAAACATCCTGGAGTTTTTGCATCTGGTAGTGAATATCTCGCCTCTTAACCAAACTTGATCACTGGCAAGAAGAACCTCGCTCCAAATTTGGCCCCCTGCCCAGGCGGGTCCGGTGCCAGGGTGTGGCTGGCACTAGGTTAAGTTCTTTAATGTATTAGCAATGGAGCTGCATTTAATAAAAGCCAAAGAGCTTCTGAACACACATGTTGGAGGAGAAAAGAAGCAGATTAGAGCTCAGGAGCCAAGCAGAAGCAGGGT